TGGCACCCCACTAGTCACTCTTCTCCAGGATGAAGAGGAACCATTGATGAGCACCCTTTGGGTTCGGTCAGTCAGCCAGTTACAAATCCACTGAGTGGTAGCATAGTCAAGACCGCATTTTACCAGCTTCTTTACAAGAATATCATGGGGCACCTTGTCAAATGCCTTGCTGAAATCAAGGTAGGCTACATCCACTGCGTTCCCTTCATCTACCAGGCTTGTAATTCTGTCAAAAAACGAGATCAGGTTAGTCTGACATGACTTATTTTTCAGAAATCCATGCGGACTATTGGTGATCACAGCATTCCTTTCTAGGTGCTCACAGACTGTTTGCTTAATGATCTGCTCCAGAATCTTCCCTGGTATTGATGTCAGACTGACTGGGCGGTAATTATTTGGGTCCTCGCTTTTCCCCTTTTTGAAAATAGGGACAACATTTGCCCTCCTCCAGTCTGCCGGGACTTCGCCTGTTCTCCAGGAATTCTCAAAGATGACTGCCAGTGGTTCTGAGATCACATCTGCCAGTTCTTTTAATACTCTTGGATGCAGTTCATCTGGCCCTCGAGACTTGAATACATCTAAACTAGCCAAGTATTCTTGTACTATCTCCTTAGTTATTCTGGGCTGTGTTTCCTCTGCTGAATCATTTGCTCCAAATTCTTCAGGTCGGGCATTGTTTTCTTTATCGGAGAAGACTGAGGCAAAGAAGGCATTGAGGAGTTCAGCCCTTTCTGTGTCCCCTGTTTGCATTTCACCATCTTCTCCTCTGAGTGACCCCACTGTTTCTTTGTTCTTCCTTTTGCTACGAACATACCCATAAAAGCCTTTTTGTTGCTTTTCACCTCTCTAGCAAGCCTGAGTTCATTCTGTGCTTTAGCTTTTCTGACTTTGTGTCTACACGTGCTGGCTATTTGTTTGAATTCCTCTTTGGTGGTTTCCCCCCTTTTCCATTTTTTGTACACATCCTTTTTTAATCTTAACTCAGTTAAAAAGTTCTTTAGATAGCCACCCTGGCTTCTTTAGGCACCTTCCATGTTTCCGTCTCATTGGTATTGCCTGAAGTTGTGCTTTTACTATCTCCCTCTTACCAAACTCTCAGCCATCATGAACTCCCTTTCCTTTTAGTATTACTGTCCATGGGATCTCACCCAGCACTTCCCTAAGTTTTATGGTCGGCTTTCTTAAAGTCAAGAAATTGAGTCCTAGTATGCTTGGCTGCTCCTTTCCGCTGTATAGTAAACTTCAGAAGAGCATGATCACTCGCGCCTAATGATCCTTCCACTTCTACCCCACTAACCAGGTCATCAACATTGGTTAGGACCAGATCTAAAATGGCTGTTCCTCTTGTTGCTTCTCCCACTTTCTGGACAATGAAGTTGTCTGCAAGGCCAGTGAGGAATCTATTTGACCTTATGCTCTTGGCTGAGTTTGACATCCAACAAATATCCGGGTAATTGAAGTCCCCCATTACTACTATCTCCCTTCCTTTTGCATGCTTGGCCATCTGTTCCAGGAAGGCATCATTTATGTCCTCCGTTTGGCTTGGGGATCTATAGTAAACTCCCACAATGAGGTCACTGTTATTCTTCTCTCCTTAATTTTGACCCAAATGCTCTCACTTTGGCTTTGAGGTTCTAAATCTTGGATCTCTTCACAGGTATACACATCCCTGACATATAACGCCACTCCTCCTCCTTTCTTGTCTGGTCTGTTTCTCTGAAATAGATTGTATCCCTCCATTATTACATTCCAATCGTGGGACTTATCCCACCAGGTTTCAGTGATGCCTATTATGTCATATTTAGTTTGCTGTACCAAGAGCTCAAGCTCATCCTGTTTCTTTCCCATGCTTTGCGCATTAGTGTACAGACATTGAAGTCCATTAATCATTCCCCCGTGACTCTTATTTAAGGATTTTTTCCTCCCACCACTAGGTCTGCGCGCTGTTTGCTCCATTTGGTCTGATTAAGGAGATCAGTTTCCATGCCTGAGCCTTCCAATAATAGAGAGATAAAATCACCTTTATTTAAGGGGTGGGGGGGACAAACTCTGTTTCACCCACGTGTTCAGGGTGGTGATGTTCTTCCCCTTGATTTTTTTGCAATCCATGAAAGCCACAGTTATGTTTGAAGCATGCTATTTGATCTGCCATTAGCATCCTAATAAGGAATCTAATTCGCTAGAAAGCTTTTGTGAAGAGCTAAAAGATTGGATGGAGTTTTTTGGGTTCTTTTAAGCACACTCTCCAAGGCTTGAATTAGAGTGGCTCTGGTATAGAAATACTTGGCACATGGTTTTGAAATCCGTCCACAAACCGAACATTGCAGGGTTCATCACTTCTTCTTTCCTATGTTAATGTGGAGGCTTGCACCTCCTGCTTCACCCATATTGTGTAGTCTAGGCATGTCCAAAGTCTGTTTTGGGGGCCTAATTCGGCCTGCCGGTCAGTTTAATCCGGCCCCTGCGTCAGTTTATTTCTTGGGGTAAAAATCCTAAAAAAAAGCTCAACAGCTTCAATCCTAAACAAAGGTCAGTAACTTTGGTCGGCCCTTTGGTTCGCTTCATCAATTCTGGCCCTCTTTGGAAAATAGACACCCCTGGTGTAGTCCATGGGTAGGCAACCTAAGGCCCGTGGCCCATGTGCAGCCCAATCGCCTTCTCAATCCGGCCCGCGAACGGTCCGGAAATCAGCGTGTTTTTACATGAGTAGAATGTGTCCTTTTATTTAAAATGCATCTCTGGGTTATTTGTGGGGCATAGGAATTCGTTCATTCCCCCCCAAAAAATATAGTCCGGCCCCCCACAAGGTCTGAGGGACAGTGGACTGGCCCCCTGCTGAAAAAATTTGCTGACCCCGGTGTAGTCTTCCCTCCCTCCCTCCCTCCCTCCCTCCCTTTGTGTTAGGTTTTTTTGAGCTTCTTTTTAGGTGCCATAATGAGCTTGATTGGCTGTGCCCGGATGACACTGCTGCAAAAGATGTGCTGTCAGTCCCCCAGATGGCACGGGGAGCACCTGCAGCTGCGAATGAGCAGAAGCTGCAGCAATTTGCCCTCTTCTAAGCTGCCTTAGGAATGGCTTAGAACAAGGCTAGGTCAACGGGGGGGGGGGGCCTTCAAATGCCTTTGGACTGCTGACCGATTTGAAGTTTGGTTTGCGTATGTTCAGGACTTAATCCTGGTGGAGAAATGAACCAGCAAAATCTGAGAAAGAAGATAACATAATAAATCCAATTATTTTTTACCATGGCTGGTTCCACTTCAGTTCATATGCCTCAAATAAGGAGCATAGGTACAGGCCACCCAAATGGGGATGTTTGGAAGGATGTTTTCGTATAATTGAAATGTATCATTTAAAAATATATATATGCACCTATTGTGACAAGTTCTGTTAAGTTTGTGTGGGAGTGGGAAGAAGGAGTGGAGAGGAGGAGAAAACCTAAGTTTTGTTGAAATATGATGTGTTAATGTTTTCTTGAAAAATCATTAAAATTATAATACCTTTGGACTGCAACTCCCATCATCTCTGGCCGTTGGCTGCATTGGGTAGTGGGGCTGCTAGAAGTTGGTGTCTGAAATATCTGGAAAGCACCACATTGACTTTTACTGCATTAGAAAGTGGATGTACATATTTAAATAAATGCATTTTTAGTTCAAGAGAAAGGCAGGTAAGAGGTGACATGTTTATCAGATTATGCCTGGCATGGAGGAAGTGGATAGAGGGAAGTTTCTCTCTGTCTTAGCCCTAGAGCTGTTGCAGGAACCACTCAGGGGCATTCAATGAAGCTGAATGTTGGCAGATTCAAGAGAGAAGAAAACCCTTCCTCATGCAGTGCATAGTTAACCTGTGGAACTCACTTCCACAGGAGGCAGGCATGGCCACCCCCTTGGGTGGCTTTAAAAGAGGATTGGGCAAATTCACGGAGGGGCTATTGATGGCTGCCAACCAGGGTGACTCTGCTCAGCCTCCACAGTCAACGGCAGCAGTGCTGCTGAATACCAGTTGCTGGAAAACACAGGAGGGGAAGTGGCTATTGTGCTCCAAACCTACTTGCAGGCGTCCAGCAAGCATCTGGTTGACCATTGTGAGAACAGGATGCCGGACTAGACGGGCCATTGGCCTGATCCAGCAGGCTCTTGCTGTGTTTAGACTCTTCCAGGAGTAAATCTCCAGCATTTTAGCGATAATGTACTATCCTTCTTGGCTATTTCATTTTACTCTTTAGAAACCTTGCTTAACATTTCTCTGCCCTAACCCAGATATAAATGCATCTGGCTAAAGGAGAATCAGGAGCTGAAAGGGCCAGGATGTGAACCCAGCCAGTCCTTCTGTAGTTCTCCTTTTGCAGAAGGATAAAAAAAAACTGGGTCAGAGTCGCTGCCTCAGCTCAGGAGGGTGTTGAAAATGCAATAGTGGCAGAGCTTTTAACTGGACTCATAAATCTGTTCCTTTTTGCAGATTAACCACCCCTAAGAATTCTAAGAATGCCCAAGGAAGGGAGAGAGCAGCTACGGTTTAAATGCATCGCCTTGGCTTCTGCTGCAGTTGAATCAAAGCTCCCTCTGATATGAGAGTCAGAACCACTCAAAGGACACACAAGAGTTATTAATAACTTTATTTTATAGCAAAAGAATCCAAGCACATTTGCAGAGTGCAGGAGCGATTTGCACTGCTTTTAATGTGTGTGCACGTAGTGGCTATTTATGTCGTGTCATCAGTGTACGCTGGTGTTTCACAAAGCATAGGAGAGGTCTCTGCCCCAAGTGGCTTCCAGTATTAAGAGTCAAGATGATGCCCAAGTGATCACTGTGCTCTGCAGATGAGAGCATCCCCCAGATGCCATCTTATCAAGAGCTCTCTTCCTCAAATGTAGGAATTGGGCCTTCAATCTTGTGGCATCTGTTGACAGCCTTTCCCCCTTTGCAAGGCTGGCCTTGATTGCGATAAACAAATCTGTATTAGAACTGCTTTTAGATGTTTTCAGTTGTTTCATCTCTCTCCGAGGGATAGCTCAGTTGGTAGAGCAGGAGACCTGCTCTAATCTCAGGATGGTGGGTTTGAGCCCCACTTTGGGCAAAGGATTCCTGCATTTCAGGGGATTTGGACTAGATGATCATTGTGGTCCCTTCCAGCTCTAGGATTCAAGTGTTTGCTGCCCTGGGCTCCTCTGGGAGGAAGGAGCAGGGTGTGAATTAATTAAATAAATAAAAACGGAGGCAGGGTGTATATGGGAGAGAGTGTTTCATTTTTGCACACTTAACTGAAAACTGGGGGAACTCGCCAGTTTCTGTGCGTGTACTTGTTTTGTTAAGCATTTTTGTTGCAAAGTTGCAGGTGAGCTGCTGTTCATTCAGCAGAAGAGCTCTGCCCATCACAGGGCACTGGCTGGAGACCAAGTCATAGGACCCTTTTTTGGCCAAACCCCCATAAGGCTGCTCATGAACATCTTTCCCACAGCTTAAGCTTTATTCTTACACACACACACACACACACACACACACACACACACAGAGAGCCCCCAGGGAGAGCTTGCCACTTCCCAGCCCAGAAATGTGCAGATTTCTTCAAATGATCTGATGCACAAAGATATTTTGGGGCAGTTGTATAACTGGATGGATATACTGATTGACGCTGCTCACACTTTTGCTTCCTCACTTTAGTTCCTTTGTATGGCGCTTCCCACAGTGAGCTGTGCCCAAAGTGGTTTTACAACCAACTTTTGGAATATCAAAATACAAAAGCATTTGGGAGTGGAGAGAAGAAGCCAGCTTGCAAAACATACCAGTTACTGAGGTGTACAGTAAGGGGGTTGTTCCAGGATATGGCATAGCCTGGCTTGCATAATTCCATCCCAAAAACACCTTAGTTCTCCCTCTAGAAGGTGCAAAGAAGTTATAATGTTTTCAGTCATAGTTTAACAATGCAGGGCCTGGGAAGTTGTAAACCTTGGTTTGTTGGAAGATATGCCATGGTCTCATCACTCAGTTTGCTGCTGCTGCTGCTGCTGTTGCTAGTACCCTAACACACCCTGCCACACCAAAAGATTGAATACTTATAAATGCAGAACGAGTACTACATGGCACTTGTAGCAGTGCTGGTTCTGTGAGTCAAAGTGCTGTCGTGGATGCCTATGGAGTGAGGCAATCACGGTTAATGGGGCGTTGTGCAGTACCTGACTGTGTGGTGTGTTGTCTTGTCTCCTGCCAGGAAAAGACGAAGGTGATCGAGCCCTTGGACTACGAGAATGTCGTCTCCCAAAAGAAAGCACAGATCTACAGCGACCCTCTCCGGGACTTGCTTATGTTCCCCATGGAAGACGCCTCTGTGAGTTGCTGCTGCTGCTGCTTCTCCTCCTTGCCATTTGGGTCTCAGCTGCAAGCTGGTCACCTCATTTCAGTTTTGCTTGTTCGAATAGTTTATTTATACCTCTTCATATTGCCACTTCTGAGCAGCACACAATAGGAACACAGCCTTGGAAATTGATGAATGCACCTGCCTGCATCTTTATTGTTGAAAGAGGGTTGGACAAATTCATAGACTTAATAGAATCCTAGAATTGTAGAGCTGGAAGGGATCATCTAGTCCAACCCCCTGCAGTGCAGGAATATGAAGCTGTCCCATACGGGGATTGAACCTGCAGCCTTGGTGCTATCAGTACTCCACCGCTCCAAACAACTGGAGGAGAAAGCTATCAGTGACTAATAGTTGAGGCCGTAGCAATGCTTCTGAATACCAGTTGCTGAGAACTGCAGGACAGGAGAGGGCTCGTGGGCTCCTGCAAACTCCTTTTGTATTCACACCGGATATGCTGCCCTTTTGCCATGCAGAATTGTTACTTTGGAACTTTGACCCTCTAGATATTGATTGATTGATTGATTGATTGATTGTACTTATATACCACTTTGCAGGCAGATCTTGCAGTGTGGATTTGCATAAGATTATTTCAACAATAAGCACAAATTTTAAAAAAAGGTTACAAAAGAATAAGAAAAACAACTTGTTTGTATAGGGGGTGAAAACTGTTTCTTCTTTGCCTCCCCTACCCTCAGGGCAGGGTGGTCCTTCAGATGCCCATGTTGTGGCCAAACTTGCTGGAGTTGTGGATGAGCAGCATCTGGGATGAACAAAAGTTCCCATGCCTGCCGTAGACACATCTGCATTGTAGCTCATAAGAACCTACAAGCGCTAGGAATCAGGCCATTGGTCTGCCTGGTCCAGCATCCTGTTCTCACAGGGGCCAACCAGGGGTCTCAGTGGGAAGCCTGGAGGCAGGACCAGGACACAAGAGCAGTGCTCCTCCCTCTTCCATCCATCCGCAAAGCCCCCTTACAACTCTAGTCATTCTGCAGCCTCTGACTGCTTTTACTCCCCCTTCCAGGTCTCTGTTGTCGGGCGCCAGAGGAGGACTGTTCAGTCTACAGTGCCAGAAGATGCTCTGAAGAAGGCTCAGAGTCTCTTTGTCCAGGAGGTAAGGGTCCTGAAGGCTGTGATACTGACGGGGTGCGCGTGCAAAATAGGTCTTGCTCCTTTCCCCCTTTAGGTAAAGGAAAAGAGAGAGACCTGGGTGAATAGTCCTTTCTGCATGCTCCAAAAGCACATAGAAAGCCTGCAGTGACGCCAGAGAGTTCTAGGGCACAGTCCCAGTTTTTGGAGGCAGGATGGGGCAGCTGCACACACACACACACACGCGTTGCCATAGTCAATTTATCTGTGTACCACATTTTCCACAACTCCCAGGTGAATTGTCGTTTCATTAGGAGAACCATAAACTGCTGCTTCAGATTTAGGTGCAAATCCAGCAGGCTTGGGAAGATTTGGGCCCTTTTTGAAAGAGTTGGTGCATTTGGAACTTAAGCTTCCTGTGTTGTGTTGCTAAAAAATGAAGGGTATTTCTTCTTTGTTGAACTCTGCATTAAAAAAAAGTAACTGAGGAAATTGATGTTTGTTTATTTATTTTTTGAAAACCAAACGTGTGACTTGCTTCCTCTTTTTAATTATGAAAGCATAACAATAACTGCTGAGGACAGACAAGCATAGAACTGAAAAGACACTCATGACGTCGCCTGTGAAGGGCTTTCTTTAAATTATTTATTTAAAATAATTTTGCAAATTAAGACAGGGAAACAAGATAAGAGTCAGACCTCTGGCCAATGTATCTCAGAAGTGCAGAACAATTTTAAGTGCAAAGCAATTGATAATATTTAGCTCAGTACTATCTGTAGAAGTGGCGGGGAACCCTTAACTTCCAGCACCTGCATGGCTTTTGGTCAGAGGTGGTGAGAGTTGTAGCTCAACACTATCTTGAGGGCCACTGATTCCCCATTCCTGATCTACACTGACTCTCCAGGGTTTCAGACAAGGAGTCACCCCTGGCCCTACCAAAGAGCATGCAAGGCAGAAGCTCTGTCACCCAGTATGAGTCTATGTTGTAGCTCTGTATATAGGAACATAGAAGCTGTTTTACACCAGGCCAGGACTTTAGTCCCTCTTCCTCAGTATTGTCTACCCTGGAAGCTGCTATCCAGAGTTTCAGCCAAGTGTATCCCAGGCCTTCCTGGGAAGGATGCATGCTGTTCCACTGAGCTAAACTGAAAGAATGGGCGAAGATTAAATTGTGCAAAACATGAGTTTGAGGCAGTTGAGTTCTGCAGGAAGCAAAGCACCCACGTGAATCTTTCCTGTATCTAATTTTGTAGTTCCTCATATATGAATTAGCAACCCTGGAGTACTGAAGTTTATAATCCTGGTTTTTGTTGCAGTCTTTAGCAGCAAAGGCAGCTATGAACTTTAACCGCCTTGCATTCAATTTCCTTCACAGTGCATTAAAACCTACAGCTCAGACTGGCACACAGTGAACTACAAATATGAGGACTACTCGGGGGATTTCCGAATGCTGCCATGGTAAGCATTTCCCCAGGGGAAATCAGCCTCTTCACAGCCTAGGATGTCGAAACCCGGATGTTCAGAAGTGCCTTAAACATCCTTCTAGCCGCTTCCCCTTCACACAGGCAACCCCGGTCATGGTAGTATTTCTGTTTCATTGACTTCATTTCAGAGGTGTCTCTGCTGCCTTTCAGCTAACACTAATAATAATAATTTTTTTTGCAAGTTTTATATACCTCTTAATCTGCAAAATCCTCTAAGCCTAAAACCTAAAACAGTATTTACTATTTATTCCATAAGATTTGATTGTAAAAAGAATCCCTTGAATACAGAAATAAAAGAATGAAATTATCAGTTAAAAAAAAACAGATACAAGAAATAATTAACATCACTGTTCAGCTAAACATCTGATTCAAACACATGTAAGCTTGGTACGCATCCGGATTCGGCTTGCATACGCAAAAATGTTTCCAGCAGGTGCCGTGAAGAGTGCAGTGAAGGTGCCTGCCTCACATCAAGTGGCAAGGAGTTCCAAAGTGCAGATGCGGCTGCTGCACAATATAAAATACTCATTTAAAAATACTGATCAGACATGAAAAACAAGTTGGCATACAATTTATCAAAATCCAACTAAAAGCAGCAGTTTAAAAACAATTACCCACACTAAAATTACTTGTCTGGGTAGAGCTGCCTAAACAAAAAGTTTTGCTTCTCTCACCTTCCTCGGAAGTCGCTCCATCCCCCGAGAGAGCGGGTCCTCTCTGCCCATATGCCTTTCTGGAAGCTCCATCTATGGATTCATTTGTTATTCAGCCATGTTGGGCAAAACATTAATGAAAGCTTCTTTTAAAAATAAAATAAATGTGTGTTTGTGTGTGTTTTCTCTTAGCAAATCCTTCAGCCCCGACAAGATTCCAAACCACGTGTTTGAAATTGATGAAGACTTTGAAAAAGATGAGGTGAGGAGAAAAGGGTCAGCCCTTTGTCTGGTAGCCGATGAAGTGCTCTGTGTAACTCAAAAGCTTTCCTAATCATATACCAAGGGAAGCTTGTTTGCTAAAAGTTCCAATTGTTACAGAACAACAATGACAACTTTTAGTATTCGTGTGGTGTTTCCAAGTGCTCAAAGCCATTGTCCAGCAACAAAGAACATAATTTTAAGAAGGGCTTTGCAGCCAGTTCAGGCCAATTCA